GCTTCTTCCTTCGGAAAACCGAGTTTTGTCTGTTCCGCGCTTGTCTGTATCGCTCCACATTCAATCTCGTGCGGTGTTGCAGCATTCTCGCCCGTGCTGCATTCTTCTCCTCTACTAACAGTTTGCATTCGCCGTCAAACCAGTCATTGCTTCGGTCCGGGATTGCAGTACCTAGTGCCGCTGCAGCAGTACTACCTATGGCTGAACGGATGTCCCTCCAGCCATCTTCAAGAGAAGCTGCGCCAAGCTGCTCTTCCGTGGGTAGTGCAACTTCCAGCTGCTGCGCGTAGTCCTGGGCAACTCCGGTGTCCCGTAGTTGCTCAATGTTGGGTCGTGGCGTTCGACTTCGACGTGTGTTATGCACCGTCGAGAGTTTTGAGCGCATGCATACTGCAACTAGGTAGTGGTCCGAATCTATGTTCGCACTGCGGTACGTGCGGACGTTGATAATGTCGGAGAAGAATTTCCCGTCGATTAGAACGTGATCGATTTGGTTTTCTGTGTGTTGGTCTGTGTGGATATCCTTGCGGGGGAAAAAGGTACTTCGAACTACCATACCCCGGGAGGCTGCAAAGTTCACGCATCGTTGGCCGTTGTCGTTCGATACGGCATGCAGGCTGTTTGGCCCGATTGCCGGTCTATACATTGCCTCCCGTCCTACCTGAGCGTTCATGTTGCCGATGACGATTTTGACGTCCCGTTGCGAACAGCCGTCGTACACCTGCTCCAGCTGCGCATAGAACGCTTCTTTTTCGTCGTCGGGTCTCCCTTCGTGTGGGCAGTGCACGTTGATGATGCTGTAGTTGAAGAAACGGCCCTTAATCCTCAACTTGCACATCCTCGCGTTGATCGGCTGCCAACCAAGATAGCACTATAACATGTTATAACCACAAACGAAGTGACAGACGACTAACTGGCGAAGAAATCCATTTAAATAATGTGGTTCACTGTAATAGAATTTTCTTGGAAGCTTATGCCATCATCCACCAGATGGGTTAGTTTTTTTGTTTTGATTTGAACAATGTTGATTTTGTGTACAATGATTCTTTGACAGTGTGCAAAGAGTGCGTATCATTTTGTCATTTTTTTATGCATTTCAGTTTTGAGTAGAGTGAAAGAGATAGAACCAAAACATTCTAGTACATTTGGTGAAAATGCTAGTTCAATCCAGTAGTAGTGTTGCCATGTGGTTCAATCCAGTAGTAGTGGTGTTGCCATGTGGTACACTGAAAAATTGCAATAGCAGGTTAGTCACCAAAGTTTTCGAGCCGCTCCGTCTGTCACTTCGTTTGTGTTATAACTCTGTAGTCTGAACGTTCTATTAGCGAATATAATATCACAGCTGTTTTAAATTGTTCGGCATGGTCTAACATGCGTGTAGGTTGATTATTTTAATTGCTAATAAACTTATTTACAGACAAGATACGGCCGGTAGTTATTGGAAGGATGGATTGTCCAGTACCACTCAGCAACCTTCTACCATCGAAGCGACATCTCGACAGCCAAAGAGGAAAAGCAAACTGTTTGTAGCCAACGTGTGGGGATAAAGTGTAAATACTGATTAATTTTTACAAACTTTTTTATAAAATAATGCGCACAATAAAGCCGTTCATCATATAAGCCATTCGAACCAATTTAGTATTCCGAAAGCAACAAATTGATAAAGTGAACATTGTTTATCAGCCCACAGGATAGAACTAAAAGCGAAGGGCTGTCAAATCCGTCAAATCAGCCTACTGATAATTCTTGTATGAAATTGGTTTCAAACGTAAACAAACCCGGTAGGTTTCTTATGTTCTTACGTTAGGAGCCAGTTTGTAATTTGGATTATTTACTCTTACTTACTGAAGAACAGAAATTCTATTTAATATTCTAAACCATCAACACTATCCTGAAGTGTTAATTCTTGACAAAATAGCTAAATCCCCCGTCTTCGCTATAGAAAATGTACAATCATGTTAATAAAATCTAGATTCATCATTCAAGATTCCATCAGTTTCTATTAGCTGGAGTACTTTTGAACACATTCTGATCAACCTGTAGTATTTAAAGAATATATGAGACACTTCATTGGTTCTATAACATTCCCCAGAAAACCATTCCCCAGAATGTACCATTCCCCAGAAAAGATGATGAAATTAGTAATTTTCACTTTTCTTTTTCTTTTTTTACTATTGATAATACACTATGTTAACTTTTATGGAACTATGTATTTATCAATTCCAAACCATTTTTTAGCTCTTTATAAAATGACAACCTTCAAGTTTTCGAGCACTTCGTTCATCATTCAATATGTCAAAGGGTCTATTATGCAATCCAATTCAACCAGTCGGAAACTGTTAAACATTATCGAAGAATTGTTCGACCTGAGTTGAAGAATTTCTCGTGATGGATTAAAAAATCGGTATATGGAACGTTGAACTACCGATTACAAATTTATAACATTATTCCACTCGTTATTATCCCAAATGGTCATTACCCCGAATCCCTTGCGAAAAGCTATTGATTATATATTAAAACAAGGGAATATTCCCTTCTTTATCATGCATCCAAAGAATTAATTATTTTCTCTTTTATATACCTATTCAACGAAAGGAATATTCTTTTCTTTATCGTTTATCCAAAGAATTAATTATTTCCTTTTCTTATATTTTCGAAGAAGGGAATATTCCCTTCTTTATCATATATTTAACGAATTAATGATGTTCTCTTCTATATATTCAAAGAAAAGAATATTCCCTTCTTTATCGTATATCCAAATAATTAATTATTTCTCTTTGTTATATTTTCAAAGAAGGGAATATTCCCTTCTTTTTCATAATATTTACATATTTAAAGTAGGGAATATTCCATTCTTTATCGTATATCCAAAGAATTAATGATTTCCTTTTCTTAAATTTTCAAAGAACAGAATAATCCCATCTTTATTATATATTTAACGAATTAATGATGCTCTCTTTTATATATTCAAAGAAGGGAATGTTCCCTTCTTTATCGTATATCCAAAGAATTAATTATTTCCGTTTCTTATATTTTCAAAGAAAGGAAAACGCCTTGATCCATTAAGAAGTTTTTCTATTCTTTTTATATACGCGAAAGAAGATTCCAGGAGTGACTATAATAAACAAAAATAGTCAATCTAATACATGGCATACTTTTCTGGGGAATGGTACATTCTGGGGAATGGTTTTCTGGGGAATGGTGCATTCTGAGGAATGTTATAGAACCCACTTCATTTGTATTTTCTAACAGTTGGAGATCTTCAGTACTTCATCAACCAGAAGTCTTTAAAAAATATCCAAAGTACTTTACTAATATCTTCGTCTGTCTTGAGATATATTGAATATTACCTGCTGTTTAGGAAGGATAACTGAAATAATATTCTGTAATCTATGCAACGTTCCCTCAACATCTATAAAACTCCTTTAAGTTTTACAAAATTCCCTCAACATCTACGAAGTTTCCTGAATTTATTCCACATTCAATATTCTTTCCATCCCTCTTAATTCTACAATTACTTCTGGAAAGACCCCCATTATCTACAAATATTATTGAATGTCTGGAAAGTTCCTTGAAATTTAACGAAGTTCCCAAAACTTCCAAGAAGTTCATTGAGTTTTTTTGAAGAAAGATCTCTTACAAACTGCAACGAAGTTCCTTAAACTGAAGCGAGGATCCCTGAAGATGTTAGAAGTTTGCTGGACTATTTGTAGATCATAGTACAACATTCCCTGCACTTAATATATGAAGTTTTATGCAGCATTTCTCAAAATGCTTCGAAATTTCCAAAACTTCTACTAAGATTGCTGCACTTCTACGTTTCTCGTTGAAGTTCCGTATGGAATTTCTTGAACTCGAACGTAATTCTCTGAAGTATTCCAAGCTTATGAGGCTTCAAAAAAGTATCCTATGAAGATCCCCGAACTACAATGAGGATCCCTGAAATCCCAACACTTAAATAAGGGTCCACACGCAGTTTTCTGAACTTTTCAAAAGCTTCCTAAGTTTCTACGAATTTTTCTGAAGCTCTATAAAGTTCCCAGAAATTCTACTCAGTTTCGTTAATTTCTACGATGTTCCCTGACCTTTTTAGAAGCCCATCCTGAGGTAAAAGAAAAATCCCTGAACTCTTGGCCAATTTGCAGTGCATGAAGACGTCTTATTATGCAATCGATTAAATGTTGATATAATTTAAATTCTCGACATTGTTTCTTCTAGTCTAGAACATTAATAAAAAGTAATCTCGATACTGCTTGACACAATACCGGTGTATAAAAAAAAACACCCAACATTCCTGGGAGGAGCCTAGGTAATTCTGGAAGGGGCCTGACCCCCTTGGCACCTCCGTTAGCTATGACAATGATCACGCGCTACCTTAACGTAAAACTTGACCACGCACCTCGGTCTGATCTACAAAAATCGATTCTATAGAAAGCACTAAAAAATTAATTGAATTTTAACTTGGAATTAGGGGAAATGATGGCTTCGGCACTTTTTAACCTATTAGTATTAGCGTCAGATGGGTAAATGATAGGTAAGTGTTATTTTTGGCAAAACGGTGCTCCGGAACATGCTGCACCTTCATGAAAAAAAAACAACGTTCAAGGACTTCATTTACCACCTGACGATAATAGGTACAGACCCCTAATTAATCTTCGATTCTGAAATTGAGACAAAGATTACTATTAAGAAATAGTGCAGCCATCTGCTACATAGCTAGCTACAAGATTGATAGAATCCACAAATTGCCGCTATCACTCGAAATTAATATTTTTACAACATAGACTCAAAATTCAAATATTGAACCAAATCGCTTCCTATCCTGAACCCTGTACTTACGTCTTCTTCGATACATTTGGCCACTAGCACGCACTATACGTCTGACGTGCGACTCAGGAACTACCTGAACCGGTATTTCCACAAGTCAGCTGATTCCTGCTGCTGCCAAACGATTTGGCGGAGGTTTCTTTACGTTCAACGGATCACAAAACGAACTACGATTACCTTCCAGGTGACGTTTTCCTGATTTTATCTTTTATTTGGAATTACAATTGGGTAGCGGGCTCAGCCTTTCCACAAGAAAAAAATATACTCCGCTAGCGCACAGAACTCCTCTCGAAGGAAACAAAATAGTGGTCGGATGTCGTAGGGGTTTACTTGACTTCCTTAACCTGCAGACCTGGCGGCAGGGACTGCTTCAGTTTTTCGGCCTTCTCCTTGTCCTGGACAACCAGCGTGTACAGATAGCGGGAGCAGCGGATCTTGAACTTAGTGTTGTTGTCGTTCTTCTTTATCTTGACGGCGCGGGCATCCTTCCGGCGAGCCTTGATGAGGAAGTCTTTCACTTCCTTAATTTCCTGAGGCATCCTACGGAACAGGCGAAAACCAACATTTGCCTCAATTAGTACAATCGATAATTAACAAGTTTCACTGCAAAATACTCACTTCGATTAGTTTTCTAAAGAGAAAATCGGAAAAAATGTTCTCCGCGATCGGAACGTGTGTGCTGTTGACGTTTAGCACAACCCGAGAAAGAAAGACAAACAGTTGAACATGGCCGAAAATCAACTTCCGCCGGCGAAGGGCGACATCTGTGGGAAAATATCGGCAGCTAATAAATACATGGTGCCCTAACATGGTTGCCAGGTATTCCTCGGTACAAGCAACAATCAATTCGAAACTAACGATTTTAAATTGGCTCACTACACGCAGAAAAAACTATCGTCGTAACAAAAATATTTGAGGTAAATTTAAACGTAAACTCAGTTTGTTCTGGCCACAAACATAAATTAGGTTGATTTCAAACGTATTCCATGTTTGAAGTCATGTGAAATCAATGTTTAAAATAAAAATAATGTTACGTTTATTTCAAAAATATTCGTGTTGCAAATAAACGTATTTATTTTTGTTTGGTTTGACAGCTATGCGAACAATCATAAATATGTTTATTTTAAACATGCTTCTCATGTTTAAAATAAACATACATATTTTGGAATTATTTTAGTAGTTGAGTGCAGGGTAAAGCAAAATAAAACGGTTTGCAAAGAAATGAAAAAAAAAAAGATCTTCGGGCAGGGCATCTTTATTTCTCCTTTTTGGGTGCGATTAAGGGTGACCTGTGGGTATTGGGGTCCTGGTCCGGGATGCGAGGACCCGTCGGGGTGGGTGTCCGGAGGTTCCAGTTCAGTGGAACCGGTGAAAATTTGTGTTATTAGCGTCGTTTTGCCGTTTCTGCCTCGGTTTCTGCCACTGGTCCTCATACCGGTTTCTTTCCATGTTCGATATCGGAGGAGGATCCGGAATGGATGGCCGTTTTCTGGTAGGTTGAGCAAAGCTGGGGCAACTTTTTTCCGAATGAAACAAGAAGGAAATAAAAAGGCATGACACGCTAAAAACCGTTTACCCAAATCCTATATTGTTGAAATAAACATGCTTTTGAATTTAATTCAAACATAAATATTTTAGTTTTAAACATGCTTTCAATTCACTTTGAATAATTCATATGTTTAGAGAATAAACATTTATATTTTTGTTTTAAATGAACAAAATTCGTATCCGTGTACTTGACTAGCCTATTGGTCCCAAGCAAACGAATAACGTATCCCATTCTAGTCGAAATTTTACTATACTACACATTGTTTGTTTGGGGGGTTTGGGGGGGGAGGTGTTGGTGGATTTTCCTATGTTTCGAGAGGTGAATCGATTAGCTTGGGACCGAAGATAGTATCAGAGCTGAGCCAAAAACTTGAGCACGTTATGTCCACGTCCATGTTTGAAGCCATTGTTAATAATGTTTAAAACAAAAATATTGTTACGTTGATTTTAAAAATATTCGTGTTGAAACTAAACGTGAATATTTTTGGCTGATGTTGACAATATGTTTATTTTGAACATGCTTTTCATGTTTAAAATAAAAAAAAATACTTTTATTTTTTTTACGGCAAAATATTTTAAATGGATGGCAAATAAATGGATATCGGCAGACAGGGCATCTATATTTCTGCTATTTTTCGGTGTGATTAAGGGTGGTCTATGGGTGTTGGGATCTGGGTCCAAGATCCGGGGGGCCGTCGGAGTGGGTGTCCAGGGGTTCCAGTTCAGTAAAACCACAAACGAAGTGACAGACGACTAACTGGCGAAGAAATCAATTAAAATAATGTGGTTCGCTGTAATAGAATTTTCTTAAAAGCTTGTGCCATCAGCCACCAGATGGGCAAGTATTTTTGTTTGATTTGAACATAGTTGATTTTGTGTGCAATATGATCTTTGACAGTGTGCAAAGAGTGTATCATTTTGTCATTTTTTATGCATTTCAGTTTAAAGTAGAGTTAAAGAGATAGAACCAAAATATTCTAGTACATTTGGTGAAAATGCTAGTTCAATCCAATAGTAGTGTTGCCATGTGGTACAATCCAGTAGTAGTGGTGTTGCCATGTGGTACACTGAAAAATTGCAATAGCAGGTTAGTCACCAAAGTTTTCGAGCCGCTCCGTCTGTCACTTCGTTTGTGGTAAAACCGGTGAAACTTTGTGATAAAGGGTGATACGGTCAAAATTTGGTCAATATCAACTTGACGTATTTCTTTCAATTTTGCATTTAAAAAACCTGAACACCCCTCATTTTGAAGGTGTGTGTGTGTAGAATGTTGCTCCTATTTTGATTTTGGAATTCACTCTTCAGTTGTCAAAATGCCGTCCAAGCAAGAAGAGCAGCGTATCAAAATTTTGCTCACGCATCGCGAAAATCCGAGCTACTCGCACGCAAAGTTGGCAAAATCGCTAAAAGTTGCCAAATCAACCGTTACAAATGTAATTAAAGTGTTTGGGGAACGTTTGTCGACAGCCAGGAAGTCTGGATCTCTGGATCGGGGGGAAATCGAAAACCGGAAGCCGCTGAGACGACAAAGAGAGTTGCCGGTAGTTTCAAGCGAAACCCTAACCTCTCTCTCCGAGATGCCGCAAATAAGCTGGGTGTATCGTCTACAACCGTGCATCGAGCCAAAAAACGAGCCGGACTTACAAGAAGGTAGTGACTCCAAATCGCGATGATAAACAAAATACGACGGCCAAAGCGCGATCCCGGAGGCTGTACACGACGATGCTGACGAAGTTTGACTGCGTGGTAATGGACGACGAAACCTACGTCAAAGCCGACTACAAGCAGCTTCCGGGACAGGAGTTTTATACGGCAAAAGGAAGGGGAAAGGTAGCAGATGTTTTCAAGCACATGAAACTGTCAAAGTTCGCAAAGAAATATCTGGTTTGGCAAGCCATCTGTACCTGTGGCTTGAAAAGCAGCATTTTCATAGCTTCCGGGACTGTCAACCAAGAAATTTACGTGAAAGAGTGTTTGAATAAACGTCTGCTGCCTTTCCTGAAGAAACACGGTTGTTCCGTACTGTTTTGGCCGGATTTGGCATCTTGCCATTACGGTAAAAAGGCCATGGAGTGGTACGCCGCCAACAACGTGCAGGTGGTTCCCAAGGACAAGAACCCTCCCAACACGCCAGAGCTCCGCCCAATTGAGAAATACTGGGCTATTGTCAAGCGGAACCTAAAGAAGACCAAAAAAACTGCTAAGGGCGAGCAGTAGTTCAAGGCAAACTGGCTTTCTGCGGCGAAGAAGGTGGACAAGGTGGCTGTACAAAATCTGATGGCAGGGGTCAAGCGTAAGGCCCGGCAATTCGGATTTGGAAAAGCGGAAGCCTAACTGAATATTTTTCCTGAATTTTATACTAATTGAACTTGAAAAAGAAATTTAATTTGATTTTTTAAATAAACGATTTCACCGATTTACACGCGTTTTCCCTTGACCAAATTTTGACCGTATCACCCTTTATTAGCGTCATTTTGTCGTTTCTGACGCTGGTCCTCATACCGGCCTTTTTCTACGTTTGGTCTGCTTTTCTTTCGACGTCGGTTTGGGGCTAGGTTGGGGGTGAGGATGATATGGGGATCAGTATCAGAAACGACGGAGTGACGTTGATATTGTGGGGTTCCACCGGTTTTTTCGAGCTTGGAACACTTACTTGCGTGGGTTTCCGGACCATCTACTTCGGTTTCGCTGCTTTCAGCCCGTTTACGGTTAAGTTTGCCAAATGTTAACAACAAGGAAAATTGTTTACCCAGATTATGTATTGTTGAAATAAACATGCTATTGAATTTAATTCAAACACAAGTTCAAACATAAATATTTTTGTTGAAAACGAGTTTTCAATTTATTTTGCTCTGTTTATATTTTTATATAATGAACATAATTATATATTTTCGATTTAAATGAACAAAATTTGGTTCCGTTCTATAGCCCGAAAAAAAATAACAACAAAAATACATTAAAAAACAATGTAACAATAGGACGAAAATTATTGTTTTAACAATGATTTATATTCCCGAATAGAAATTGTAATGTAATGACAAACAGACATAACTCTTGTAAGTTGTTCATCGAACAAGCATTTAACGGTCAATTTAAAAGTATCGTAGTTTGTAGTACCGCCACCTGTGGCGCGCATAGTCAATTCCCTTGCGTTTGACGTTTACACACTACCGCCATCTGTTCAGCGTACTACCCACCACAGTGTATTCAACAGATGGCGGTAATGTTTTTGCGACGATGTTTTACGGTGAGAAATATTCAATGTGTTATGTCTGTTTGTCTATGATGACAGCATCAATAGTAATGGTAGGAAGCCAAAGGATCTGTGTGGTCGCTTCGATTACGTCACTGTCCGGCCACTCTTGCGGAGATCCATTTCACAGTCAATTGAATTCCGACCTTTGCGGAGCGAAGGTCATGTACCTAGCTGTGGACTGCTTTGAAATCGGAAATGGGAGTCCACCATCCACAGATTGGTGTTGCCGAGGCAACCGTTTAAGGTTTATTTTCTGAAGCAGATTCGAGTGTAAGAATGAAATATTGAACGCGACTAGCTAAAAAGATAAATTAAAATTATCTGCCATAATTCACGTAGAGATTGATCAATTCATCGTATTAACCGTAGCCAACGCCGGATACCTTGATGCCGATGCATTTCAGCATACACAGAAAAAAAGTTGTTGAATATTACATCCAAACTGCTGCAACCAGGTCAATCCATCGGTTGTGTAATATAACGTTGTACGATGTACATCGATTTTGCGAACAAAATTACATCCATTAATGTAATATTGTATCTGCTTTTTGCTATTACATCATTATTTCATACATCAGCTTGAATTACATTGATCGATATTACATTTTTTTTTTTGCTGTGTAACGTCGGGGACAACCGCAGCTGCTCTTTATCGGATTTCATCAATTAATTAATCCATCGTGCCGGTTTAGGTTTGATAACTTGTAATTTTGGTTTTGCAACTCCGACTGTAGTGTTTTCTACTCTTCTTGTGTATAAAAATATTGGTATACTGTAGCACGCCGAAAATCGTTCAGAGACGATTGGCGTTCTACTACTAAAAATGTTCAAACTCCACAAAGAAACACCCAGGGACTACCGTTCCGCACTCGATTTAATAAAACGAGCGATTTAAGCGCCACTTGAGGATGAGGACCGCCCGCCAATGTGTGTT